CCAGCGTAAAATAGTAGCTTAATGCTGCTGTGTTTCGTACGGTGAGTGTAGAGAACCGGAGATACTTTTTACTCGAAACGAGGCATTCCATCTTAGTCCTCACGGGTGACAACTCATCTGCATTTTGATTTGTAATCGAGGATAGATGTCTTTGGGTCGCAGCAACCACTTACCATCAGGTGGACTGTGTGCTCGTTTGTCACCCTATCCTATAAAAAATGTAAAATATAGACACAAAAATAGGAAGCATGTCAAAGGTGCGAGAAGTTTTAGACTGCGATTGTAAATTCATCCGTCAAAGTGTTGTGTGGTCTGGTGAATGGGAAAAACTGTTTGTCTCGTCGTGAACAGATAACAGGTAGATACAAAATTCATTCATTGATTTAATACAGCTTATCAAAAACCTCAGTTGAAGATAGGCCTTCCCACAAATTGTCTTATAAGGGGGAATGTTGTCATCCAATCCAAAATTTTGTTTTCCTCCGTCTCTCCTTACGACACTCACGTGACGATATGTGGTAATGGATATTCTTATACCGTCACTACACGGTCAAGTTAACAGGCTAATGAAGATAAAATTAAGACAGACTGTGACAGGTAGGTACGTGGTTACCAAATTTAGCGCAAAATTTTAGAATGAGGACATTATTTATGTTTCAGTTTAGGAGATGTCTAAATTACACAAGTTATCATTGTAAATTATTTTCATGATTTACAAAAGGTAGATCAGTAGTCATCCTTTTATAAATTTGCCCTAATAACATAACATTTAATTTTTGCGTTACTCACTTCTTTACAAAATCCAGGATTGCATCAGCTATTTCGAAGTTTTCCCTATGTATGTAGAAAGCATTTGCAGCCACTAGTCCGATAAGCCAAAATGGATGGAAATATAATATACTTAAGAAGAAAGGTTCAGCTGAGTCGGGTTCTTTCTTGAAAACCATACATCCTTTAGAGAGAAGCCTGGGGAAATAATATTAGGTGTAGTGTAATTAACAATTAATTAATTAATATAAAAACGGGAGATGGTCGAGCAAGTAGATAAATTTATATATTTGAGATGTTATATATGTTTGGGATATGACAGGAAATAAAGTAAATGGGGCTCTACACTTTATTGTGAAAAGTCAGAACGTTTCAAAAAAGGCACGTATGGTAATTCACAATGCTGTATTAGTCCCTACTTTAACGTATGGTAGTGAAAGTTGGGTGGGGCAGAAGAAGCACGAGTGTAGAATAAATGCAGTGGAAATGCGGTCGTTAAGGAGTCTGTTAGCGCTGAATCTGAGTGACAGGGTGAGAAACTGTGTGATAAAAAATGAGTGTGGTTTGCAGGATGATGCGGTGACCAGGTTTAAAAAAGGAATGCTTTGGTGGTTTGGTCATGTAGAAAGAATGAATGAGGAAAGACTGATAAAGCAAATATATGTTGCAGAAGTGAATGGAAGAGTCGGAAAGGGACGTCCTAGGCGAAAGTTTGTCGAATAAATTGGCAATATATTAAAAAGGGCCAAATTAGGAGTACCCTTAATCGACGAGCATGTATGCGTAGGTAGGTATATGGATGTGGAAGAGGCGAGAGAGGTATGTCAGGATCGTGTTAAATAAAAGTCTGTAGTCTCTGCCTACCCCTCTGGGTGACAGGTGTGAGTGTTTATGTTAAAAAACGATTTTGTTATTGTATTATTTATATTATGGGTAATGTTTTATTCCCTTATTTGCAAATTATGAGATAACTATTTTTATTTTTTCCTTTTTAATCAACTCGTTTCCATTTTAATCAAATCAACCAATGAAAGTTATGGTGCCACTTTTACTGGAAACAAGGTATTCCATTTTAGTCAAGTTAAGGATTAGGTATATTTTTTAACATGATAATATATACAATAATTTTACGAGTTTGTACAAAGATTTCATAATCTTACGTAAGCGGATGTCGGGGATTCAGCATGAGGGACTTGTCAAGGCAAATGTCAGCCCAGTCTTGATCGAGGTCTCGTAGACAGGTGGCCAACTCCCGCCAACGATCAGCATTGCGCGTATTTTGGGCTACAAACTGAAAATATACAGAATTTTGTAGTTACATGTATAACAAGAACGAAAAAATATTTTCATTGCTAATAAGTTAAAGCTATAGTTTGTATGACTGTATTACAAGTTTCTTCGCACAATAGAATCACTTCGATATATTGATAGTCAACTTGGCACCGCTGAAGGGACTGTAGCACCACCCAAATGTCGACGGAATCAAAGGCTTTCTCATAGTCTACATACGCAAGGCCAAGTGGCAGATTGTAGTTCTTGGTTTCAGTTTAGGGTCCAAGGTTCAGTGTGCCTCTTACCCCTTGCGATCACTGAGACATCACTGAAAGTTGTCGTCTAGTCGTCATAATTAAGTCAATCTCAGTTTTTGTCGAACCGTCCGGGGCCGCTTCTGGAAGAAAGAGTTCATCATAAAGAGTCCCCCTTTCTCCATAAAGTCGGCCAACTGCTGGCCCCTTGGGTTCCGTTGCCCCATCCCAAATTTCCCTACCTTAAGCTCACCGTTCTTTCTTGTGCTTAGTTTTGCGTTGAAATCTTCCATTAACACCGTATAGTGGGTTTTAGAGGAATGCATGCCTCTAGAAACATCCTCATACATTTCCACCATGTGCCGAGGTTGGTGTGTAAACCTGTATGACCTTCAGCGAATACGTTATATAATTGTTAAGGAGAGACTTGTGAACGATAAATCCGACACCTCCTTGGCGTTCCGTGTCGTATAGCTGCGGTTATGAATATCCACTACCCATATATTCCTGTAGGTATCGTAAAAGGCAACAGAGGAATACAGGTAGGAGACGGGATTTTGTATCTTCCTGATAACAGCAATTGTACAAAAAAAAACTACGGTTGCCAACACGCTCGCCAAGTGTGGCAACTATGACAATTGCATGAGCAACGTTAAAAATAAGCGGCCTCCAGTCCCCGGCGGCCCCACTATTCCTGGCAAGAAGGTGGTTCTTACTTTATTTAATGAATAAAATAGTATTTACAATAATAATATTTATTAAAAAGTATATCTTAGTAGTCATTAAACGATCTGGTGGACATTTGCCAACTTTTACGTTTGGTTTTCTCATTAAACATATAAAGTTAGAAGTCCGTAAACTCAGAAATTATAGAAGCTTGTGAACAGCAGTAAGACGTTTGTAGGCAGTAGTCAATAGCTGAATATATTTAAGCTTATTTGTTTTCTTTTTTAATATTCAGCGACAAACTTAGTAAAAAAAGAATGCTTATGGAATCACCCCCATATTCCTGTATTTTTTAGACAAAATTTTTCTTATAGAGCTTAAGTTTTATTTTTAGTTTAAGGGTTTTAGTTTCGGGAGTACACTGTAAATATTACTATATACACTGTAAATATACTATGCGATAGATAGAAAACCACACGGGTCGTTCCTGATCCAAAAGGAAAAGTAGGATCGCAGGTACACGGATATCGACCTGTGGCCGTGCTTTCATCAGCAGCAAAAGTGTTAGAGTCGGTCATGTATGACAAAATATTCGTGCAGGTGAATCAGCAGCTCTCGGAAGCACAGCACGGGTTTCGGCCAATGAAAAGTCTACTAGCAACCTTCTTAGCTACATGGCTGAAGTTGTGCTCCCAGTGGATATGAGGGTGCAAGTTGACGCCGCCCACTTTGACTTTAAAAAAGCGTTTGACTTAGTGGATAACGACGTCTTGCTAAAAAAGTTAGCGGTAGTTGGCTTCACTCCACATTTATTAAAATTATTTGCCAGATATATGACAGGAGAAAGCAGTATGTGGAATATGCCGGCAATACGTCGGACACATATATTACAAAATCTGGAGTAAGCCAGGGCAGTAATTTAGGGCCACTTCATTTTTTATTACTGGTTAACTATTTGCCGGAGGTAGTTAAGGAATCTAGGTGCCTTCTTTTTGCTGATGACCTCAAGTTGTATCATGTCATAGAAACTTTGTCAGACTGTGAAAAGCTACAACAGGACGTAAACAGAGTAGTGGCACGGAGCAACAATAACCGTTTACAGTTTAACACCTCCAAGTGTGTTACCATTTCATTTAGTAGAAAGCGCATGCCCATTGAATATAACTATGAAGTCGATGGTTCGCCAATGGTAAGAGTTAAAGAAGTTAAAGATCTAGGCGTTCGGCTAAATAGTGAATTATCGTTTAGGGAACACATTCTCTATTGCTGCAAAAAAGCGTATAGAAACTTGGGCTTCATTCTTCGCACAGTTCACGGTTTTACTAACATTAATTTAATCGTTACTCTGTATAATACACTGGTAAGAAGTAACCTGGAGTGTAACGCCGTAATATGGTCGCCACATGAAAAAAGGTATAGCACAATGCTAGAACGTGTGCAAAATAAATTTATTAGATACCTATATATGCGTCATTATGGGGTCTACCCTATGTACCCATTAATGTATCCAACCTTATTTATTCTGGGTATGGTTGGCTACAACGAGTTGAAGGTCAGACGAGACCTCGCATTAGCCTTAAAATATATATTTTAAAGTGCTTAGACGAAAAATATATAATAGTGTCATATTGTGGCGGATTAGGCTGTGTGTTCCAGACGGGTACGTATGGAAACGGCGGTGGCCGCGGCTGCTCTCCGTGCTGCGCGCCCGAACCAATTTACTAGATAAAGCATCTTAAACGCGAACGTTACGCATTGTTAATAGAATGGCTGAAGACATTGACCTATTCTATTGCTCCTTGAGTGAATTTACTAGGGTGGGATTGTTTACAATTTGTTACAGTTAATTTCTACATTTTTGTTGTGCATAAAAATAACTACACTGTCGCATTAGTTTATTCCTGTCATGATAGTTGTTAGTTTGAATAAATAAATAAATAACTTTTTATTTTAGAAGAACTGATTACTATCATGACTTTTATTTCATACCTAACATTTGCATTTTTTCAAACTTAACTAATAATAAAGCTACGTATTTACCTGAAAATATAGTTCCAGAGCATGTTGCGTATCTTGAAAATGACGAGCATGCCTCGCAGCCCGAATTACTGGGTCCATTTTTGGCCAATCGTCGACACCAAGGAGTGTGTCAGATGCAATACGCACGAGACAAGCATGAGCCATCATTAGAAGTTCCTGTAAGAATTTCGCTACAAAACTTAAGACATGATCAGTATTAGACTGACTGATTATTATTCTTTGTGTGATTACAGACGCCTATCAGAGTTAGTAATATGTGATAATGATGATGGTGATTTTAATCAAGGTAAGTATATCTACTACCCCATATCATCTCGAGGGTATCGTTAGAGGCGATAGAGGGAAATCGAACTAGGTAGGAGTATCCTCTTTTTACGCTAAGGCTAGGCCAAGGCTATAAAATATTGCACATAACTTTATGTGCAAGCTCAGAGGTATTTATTTTTCTGAAACTATTTGTGCTCGACATATTAAGTTTCTGCGGTAAGATCAGAAATATATTTGCATGTCTTAGTTCAAAAAATAATTCTAGGCCTGAGTTGAAGCGATAACGAGAAACAAAAACATATGCGAAGATTTTTTAAATACATAAAAAGTCAATTTTAACAAAAATAGCAAAATTAAAATTGAACAAACCTCAAACGTTTTTTCAGATTGTAAGAAGTCTTCTGTGACAAAATTGTTGTTGACGTAGATTGCAGCCTCCTCCAAAAACGATGTAAGGATTTCAACACGAGTGCGCGTCGAACTAAGTTGGCGATCGAATGTGCAAAAAGCTGCAGAACCTTTAACATAAGTTTTTTATAAAGATTTTTGAATTGGTACCATTGTTTAAAATATCCTAAAATGTATCTATAAACTGAAATTTGCAATTAGCTACAATTGAAGCTTTAGAAGGAATTGAATTCGTAGCACACTCGTAGCACGTAGCACATTGTCTTGTAGTAATGGAAAGCTGTTTCTTGTAAGAGACTATAATGGAATTAGAAACGAGATATTGAGACCTACGTAGCAGTGGTTCGGTACTTTGTACGTATTGTTTTTTTGTATTTATTTCAATTATTGTATTGTTGCAAGCCATAATTAATGCCACTTGCGTCATCCAGTATCGAGTAGTAGAACTAGGAGAACGCTACAGAAATTTCCATACTAGAACTTTCCCACTAGCGCCAGCCTTCTATTATCGAGTGGCAGAACTAGCAGAGAACTGTCTACACCTAGTCGATCGGGACCAGTACCGACCGTACTCGAACATTCTAGATGTTTCAATGAAAAAGTTCCTATATAAGACTGGTATTGAACGCGACCCGGGTTAGTATTGAATTGGCAATGCAAGCGAATACTTCTAAGCGATATAAATGCGAACTGAAGTGTTAAGTGTGATTAATTATTAGTGTGTTTTAAGTTAAAGTGTCAATTTTGGTTATTCAATCGGCAGTTTTTATTGTCACAAACAATTGGTGTCAGAAGTAGGACAAAATCATGCTGATTTTATCAAAGGACGACACGGAGGGTGTCACCTAAAATCAACGCCAGCAGGAGAGGACCAAAGACGATTTGGTAGTGCAAAGCCGCAGACATCAGAGGGCCAGCTGCCAGCCACGGAGGCCAGCCCGTTAGCAGCTCCTACATCTGCAGCACCTGACGTAGGCGCTTTGATGATGATGCTGCAGGAACAGGCCCAATGACAGGAGAAACAGGCCCATCGGTTGGATGGGCAGCTGCAGCGCGGACAGGAGAAACAGGCCCGTCGGTTGGAAGATCAGCAGACGGAACAGGCCCGCCTACAGGAGGAACAACCTTCACGCTACCTTCGAGAAAGAGATAAGGGAGGTAAAGGATAGAGTTGCTCAACATGACAACCGCCTGTCGAAAGCTAAAACCCGAATCGAGCAACAACAATCAAATCGAACAATCGGGTTGACAACGTGATGGCTGACATAAAGGAAACGTTGGATGACTCAAGCTTGGGGATAGAATAACAGCTCCCGTGGTAGTTACAACATCTTCGCTACGTGGATTCAAAGTTCCGCCGTTTTACGGGACTTCTGCCTGGTAAACCTACAAAATCCAGTTTGAAGCTGTCATGAAGGCCAATATAACACCGCAGCATGTAAATGCATGGCAATGTAGATGCACTGTCAAGAAGGCCTTGTCTTGAAGATTGCAAGCATTGTACTAGGAAAGTGGGTAAGGAAGTGGTATCCGTGAGGATGGTTAGGACAGACCACCTCAGTTACGAGTGGAAGGACAGTCTACAACATGCACAGCAGGAAGATTCAGACATCAAGCCGATTCTGGAATGGATGAAGGCCTGTGCTCCTAAGCCCAAGTGGGGTGACATCTCAGCGATGAGTTTGACCACGAAAAGCTATTAGGCCTAATGGGACAGCTAGCTGATTCAGGATGGGGTTCTGTGCCGTAAATGAGTTAATGATCGGGGAGACAGCTGTCATTTGCAAATGGTTGTCCACAAAGCTACCGGATGTTATACAGCTGTACCATAAGGGTTGTTCAGGGGGCTATCTTGGAGTTAAGCGAACTCTACTTAAGATCCAAGAACGGTTTTACTGGGTCCACTGTCCTGACGATGTCGAGGATTGGTGTCGCAAATGTACAAGTTTTCGGCTGTGAAGGGACCTCAGACTCGTAATAGAGGTGCATAGAAATTGTACAATGTTGGTGCACCATGGGAGAGGATATCTCTTGAAGTGGTAATAAATCGTACATGGTTGTGATGGATTACTTCACTAAGTAGTCAGAAGTCATCGCCATTCCAAATCAAGAAGCTTCAACAATAGCTGTTAAACTAGTACATGAAGTATTCTGCCGTTTTGGAATATCTTTAGAGATTCACAGCGATCAATGAAGCAATTTTGAGTTATGGGTACTCATAAAACAAGAACAACTTCTTACCACCCACAATCTGATGGATTAGTAGAAATATTTAATCAGACATTGGAGAGGTACCTAACAAAAGTTGTTGAAAATCAGCAACGAGATTGGACAAGCACATACAACCGTTTTTGTGTCTTAACAAAGTGCAGTTCACGAAAGTACATCAGTGATACCAGCTTTCGCCAACTTTGGAAGAGAATTACGGCTGCCTGCTGACCTGTTCACCGGAATATCACCTAGCGCCCCAGGTAGAAAGAAAGAAAGAAAGAAAGAAAGAAAGAAAGAAAAATATTTATTTGGTACACAAACGTAAAAAACACATAACAGACATAAACACACAGTAATTTAGTTACAAAGAGAAAAAAATATTTTATGCTATTAGTGCACCAAAAAGGTTTCCACTCAGCGTTAAATTCACGAAGTTTAACACTAAGAAACTTCATGAAAGCTGATTTTCAGTGGAACCTATATATAAGAAAGTAGATGGCGATACCGTCAGCTTACACAAAGGTAGTGCAACCGATTATGCAAATGACTTGCGGAACAAAATGAATGACATTTATGAGCACGTCAGACAATCGGGCCAGCAAATGTCTGAAAAGACGAAAACCAGATATGACCACAAAATGAACAACAAAGGGTTTGACGAAGGTTCACTAGTGTGGTTGCAAAATCCAGTCCGCAGCAAAGGGAAATCTTCTAAGCTTCAAGCTAAATGGGACGGACTGTACGGAATTGTGTCAAGGATCAATTACGTAACCTATCGGATACAAAAAGGTGAAAGAAGTACTCTTAAGATCGTCCACGTGGATCGACTGGCGCGTTATTATGGGTCCGATAATGCTCGGGACGAGCACGTCTTAGGAGGGAGCAGTGTTTCAAGTCATAATTTTTGCCACCAGCGCCATCTAGTATAGTGTATCAGGTCAGCGGCATCTACACCTAGTCGGTCAGGACCGGTATGCACTCGAATATTCTAGATATTTAAGTGGAAAAGGTCCTATGTAAGACTGGTATTGACCGCGACCCGGGTCAATATTGAATTGGCCACACAAGCGAATACTTCTAAGCGATATAACTGCGAACTAAAGTGTTAAGTGTGATTAATTATTTGTGTGTTTTAAGTTGTAATTGTAAAGTGTCAATTTTGGTAATTTAATCAAAAATAAATTTTAAGGTTATCGCGGTTGGCAACCGCAATTTTAATTTTCTAGCTGTAATTAAGACGCTGCTCTCCATCTCCTGATTTGTTTCCCCCTGTTGCATTTTTCGACGGATGACATGAGGGTCGATATGGGTTAGTGAATATTTTTATACCACCATTATACGGTTGGTAAACGTATTAAATTCATTTTTATTCAATTGAATGATTACGTTTGTAATATAAAAACTTAACATCAAAGAATTTACGCGCTGTCTGTAAATAAAAAAAATACATAAATGTGTTGTGATTATGAATTATATCCCAAAGGTATTTTGTAGATTGCATATAGTACATAAGTCGCACGTTGATGGCCATATTATCTCGTGGGTGCCGTAAGATTCGACAAAGAGAAAATGGAGCAGGAGAAAGCTAGCAGTATCTTTATGACAATAGCTCAAAAAATACTGTGGTTATTAACATGTAAGGCAATCGTGGCATGGTTGATATGATAAAATAAGGGAATCTATGGGGGAGAGCTATGTTCAGTAGGCATCATTTATCATTAGGCTGTAATGAAATGATAATGATTATGAATATGGTTCTGCTTGTACTATATTTATTGTAATACAATTCATACTTTTATGTATTGCGTTAAAACATTAGTTTTTGAAGACATTTACTTTTTTAACACCCACCTACCTACCTTGTGTAATCTGTTCGAGAAATATGTTTATTAATCTAGAAAAATAGTCATCACCATAATATGGGATCCTGCGCAAAGCGTTTGCAGCCATTTTTACTGTGCTTTGCCAGTCTTTGATCTTTTGTCCACGTCCTGTGCATTCTCGTTGGCAAGGTTGAGCTTCCATCTCCTTTAGCATTTCTTTAATTTCTAGTCTAAAATATTAAATATACCTGCATTTATGTCTACTTAGGATCGAATTATTGTGGAGCACTAGACACATTGCAAGAATCGTTCTTGTCATCATCATTCATTTCCCAGAAAAGTTTTGCTAGTGCATTGTATTAAGTGTTCACTTTCCCTTGTCGAATGATAATCTTAAACGAAGTTTTTAGTAATTCCAAGGCTAGAAGACGTTCCATTAATTAGAATACGTTATACATAACGTTAAATTTTTGTGCGCAAAAAAATTTGTACCGTATTGGATGTCGTTTTTCAAACTTTATGACTAGCCCAATTACAGTTTAGCTTACTTATCCGTTTACGCTATGACGATTCTTCTTGTTTTTTTGTTATAGCAAAAGCGTGACAAATGAGTACACAATCTACATAAGTAATGGTAAGTGGATTCTATGGCCCATAGATAACTACATCTAATACTCGATTAAACATCAAATTGTAAATACGATGTTTCCACAGATTACATTTTATAAAACTGAAATGTTACTTCTAAGGCGTAAGGGGACCTCCCTTAGGCTTTAGAAGTAACATTCATCCCTCCTAAGGTACTCTACACTCACCATACAAAAAACACAGGCAGCATTAAGATTAAATCGACCTATTCGTGCTGGAACCATAATAGAGTTGCAGTGTGGCTCTGCCATGTTAAATCGTTTCGCACCTTTGATGCCGCCGCGTCGCCGGTTTGCGTACTTTACGTCTGGCGTAAATGGGCTAGTGATATCGCCTTCTATTGGAAGCCATAAATTGTAGCATTTCTTACGACATCCACGAGATGAATTGGGATGATGGATGGACTATTATAACCCAGATTTCATATCCACCGGGCTTTCTTTATAACTGAGTCTGTGAATATTTATTATCATAATAACATTGAAATAAATACAAGTGTAAAAAACTATTATAAAAAAAACTTTTGGTAAAAATTTAAATTATCATACAGTTCTACTTTATAACATAAAACCAATGAAGAATTTTTAAGAAAACTTTTTGAATGGAATCAAATAATCCAAATGCTAAGATAATAAATGGCCAAATTATTCTTTGTACGATTGTGTATGGTAATTTATAATAGGTCTTTACCTATGAAATTGCCGTTCTGCAGAACTAGCCATTTCAAATAAAATAATTTTTGTTTGGCTAAAAATACTAATTTCAAATTAATTTTATGTAAGATGAAATTAATTTTACATTAAATTTTATTATAAACATAGAATTCATTTTTCAAAATTAGTAATTTGTTTATCGATCAGCATTATGTTTTCATCACATTTGAATATTTTTCGTCATCATGGATACGTCAAAATTTCGAGTAATTATGGAATATGTAGTTCCATTATTTACGCGGTAGAGCCACGCTGCAGCTATATTATACTCGTTGTAGCACAAATGGGACAAATCGATCTGGGCGTCCTGCCTCACGCTCTCACAGAATACCAGTGTAAAATAGCAGCGAAATACTGCTATATTTAGTATGGTGAGTGTAGAGAACCGAAGACGTTTTTTACTAGAATCGTCCATTCAATTCTATCTTAGTCGCCAGGGCTGATAATTCATTTGCATTTTAATCATTAGTTGAGGATGTCTATGGCCGACAGCTTCCACTTACCATCAGGTAGACTGTGTGCTCATTTGTCACCCAGCCCTATTAAAAAAATCCATCGTGTCAGCAACGCGGCACAAGTAGCACGCAACATCAACGACGTTTACGGAGCGAATACTACAATTAAACGCACCACCTGTTATTTGTTTGCCCGCTTCCGTTCTGGAAACTTCTGCCTGAAAAATGAACCCCGTGATCGTCTGAAAACTTTGAACGAATGAAAGGTGAAGCTAATGATATCAAATCTACGGCAACAATATTGGTACATTTGCGTTAAATTGGCAGGGTAAAAAAGTCTGACAAATGGGTGACCCGCGAACTCAATGATCACAAGCGCGAAGTACGCGTCGAGACGTGCCTTGCACTGCTCAGCAGGCACACGAACAAAGAAATTTTGAACCGTATTGTTACCTGCGACGAAAAATGGATTATATTTCACAATCGTAAGTGGATCCTTGTACAGCACCTAAACGATGCCCTAAACGAATCTTACCCTAACTAACTAACGTAACTGTTTGGCGGTCCAGCGCCGGTGCGATTTATCACAGCTTCTTACCAAACGGAATGAGCGTTTCTGCTGATGTATATTGTGTAGAACTGAACATAATGATGGAGAAACTCATATGTATCCAACCAGCTTTGTCTCGGCCTCTTGTTCGACAACGCGTGACCTAATTAATGCACAACAGACGGTCTCCAAGTAACAAGAGTTGGGGTTGGAAGCTCTTCATCATCCGCAGTATTCACCAGAGCTTACGCGTACATACTTCTACTTTTTCCAGAATTTGGATTACTTTGGTGGGAAAAAATTGAATACCCGAGAGACAGCACAAAATGTCTTTAAAGAATTTGTTGCCTCCCGTCCAGCTTTATTCAAGAAGAACATCAATAAACTGCACTACGTTGGCAAAGATGCATCGATTGCATAGGTGATTACTTTGATTAATAGAAATAAAAACTTTAGAAAAAAAATATTATTAACTTATTTCATAAAAACCAGCAATTTCATAGGTAAAGCTAATATAAGTAATGGAAAAATATGCTTACTGAGATATATGCGGAGGTGACACCGGTTTCTTAAACGGACGTCGCAAAGCCATTTCTATAATAACAAAGGCGCAACTGTCATCACTGCCTGTAGGCATTTGAGATCTTGCGTCAGTTTTGCTAGTCCGAACCGAATCGGTCATTATCCTAGAAGTGAAAAAAGATGGTGAAATGTGGGCATAATGTAGTGCTTTATCACATCACTGTGGAGTTTTGTATCGATGACTAACAAGGGTCTTGTCGCTCATTATATTATAACTAAGTAATCGTTACTTAATGGTTCCCTTCTTTTTTCTCTTTACTATTCTTCTTCATCCCGTGTAAGTCCAATGCCGGATAGATGCTTCTTACATTCTAGAAGTAATTTGAATCGTTATGCTTGGCTGGAGGATTCCCGATCATAGTACCAGATGGCTCACACACGTGACGTTGCTTCTTGTCACCTGTATTTTACATTTTGTTTAAACGAGATCGCGAGAACGAAACAATAAAATGCCATGCCCTTCAATAAACAATATTAAACATCTCTTTTACGCCAGATGTTAAATACCAGAATACCAGAAAAGGACAGTTGCGTCTACGTAGCGATTCGTTTGGCACGATGGTTAAAGCAAATCTTCTCTACAACGGGAGAGATCTATGTCCAGCACTAGACTTTTAAAAGCCGATAAAGAAGTAAGAAGAAGAAGAAGTAAGTACTATAAGATGGTAATATAATATTTAATGGAAACAATGAGATAATAAATACAGACCGATTTAAAAGCGACTATACAGACCCCAAATCCTACAGACCCATTAGCCTCACGTCCTTTCTCCAAAAGACGTCTGAGAGACGATACAACACGCCTACAGCTTTGGTAATCCGACAAAATCGGCACTTCACCACGTTCATAACAAAGATTGAAGAGGCCATCCAAAACAAAGCAATATGTCTAGGCTCCTTCATAGACATAGAAGGCGCTTTTGACAGAACGAACTTCTCCAGCATAAAAGGTGCACTAAGTAGACATAAAGTTGAAACTGTACTGATTGAATGGATGGTAAATATGCTCATTACACGAACAATAAAGATTGCTGGTGAATCTTAAACAATTAAGATCAATAAAAGCTGCCCGCAAGGAGGGTTTTTCACCTCTCCTGTCTATACAGTCGGAATATGGTCAATAATTAACTCATCAGCAAAGTAAATACCAATCAATTCTACACAGTAGGTTTTACAGATGACAAACCTGGTCTCTGGAAAGGCAGCAAGCGTAGTGTGCGATCTGACCCAAGCGGCTCTCCGTATAGTGGAGAGATGGTGCAGGGAATATGACAACCGTTAATCCAAATAAAACGGTCCTAGTAATGTTAACACAAAAGCGAATGCTAAATAACTGTCATCTCTTAAGTCATTTCAGCACAAAACTCCAGCTATCCTCTGCGGTAAAATACTTAAGACAATTAGGATACTTAGGACAGATTTTGGACCGTAAACTCAACTAGAAAATAAAATCAACAAAGCTAGTATAACTTTCTCGAAATGCAGAAATATGATTGGCCAATGGGGTTTGACGCCAAAAATTATACAGTGGCTGTACAAAACTGTAATGCGGCCCATGATCACATACGAAACTCTCGTATGGTGGACCAAAACTAATGAATCTTCCACTATAAAGAAGCTTCAGTGTTATTAGAGACTAGCATGTATGGCTGCCACAGGCTGCATAAAAACTACACCAACAGCAGCATTAAAGGCTATACTGGGGCTAACCCTGCTTCATCTACACATACAACAAGAAGTTGCTTTAGCTGCCATTAGACTCAAGACCCAAAATTTTTTGAGTAAGATTAGAATCCCTCGTACCTCGTAGATATAATTGATAGGATTTACTCAAAAATTTCTATCTTACAAGCCAAGTACGATAAGATCCCAAAACAATTTGTATACGATAAGAAGTATAAGATACAATTAAATGAAACCGTGACCAGCCGGAGGGATTAAATCCAAAAGAGCTTAGAGTTTTCACGGATGGTTCTAAAACAAATGAAGGTGTAGTATTTGGAACCTTCTCTTCTCTATATACAAAAGAAATAAGAAATTACGCTCATCTTGATAGATTTCAATATAGTCTAGGCGTGGTATTTCTTAGGGCTCCCGGCAATTTTCACAGTGCACGCGCACTCCTGGTTCGATCTGGAAATTGTTAATTGCAATTTGGAGTGCAGATTTGCCACGTACTCAACGGCGAGGAAAAACATCGTGAGTAAAGGTCACAGCTCATTAGAGCCACTCAGCACTCGACCCTCACCGCCTCGTCACAGGCGTTCACTCGTAGTCGACAGGTGGACCACGGGTGGACGCCGAGTTGTCACCAGTGAGCCTCGCGTGGTCATCGAGTGGAACTCGCGTCGTCAACGAGTGGACCTCGCGTAATCAACGAGTGACCCTTAAATCATACAATAAATTATACTTCCGAACTTCTATAAGTTTTTCTTTGTTCATTTTAAAAACAAACAACAATGCCTCCGACACATTCGAAAGAAAGGCTCGAAATGAAGGGTTGGTGGAGAGCGCCGCATCGCACTCGCGTGAACCGCGCGTTGCCAGCTCGCGCTTCACGCGAGGCAAGCATGTCAACAGCGAGCTATCATCGAGTGGTCCACTCGCAGTCCGCGCGTGGACGCCTCGCGAGCGAGGCGATCCGGTGATGGTACGGAGTTGAAGTAGTGAGCGCAGGCCCATACCCTCGAGCGGTTGGTATTCTTCGTAAATCCATACGAGGCGGTGAGGGTCGGGTGGCTCTAATGAGCTGTGACCCTAAACCTACATGTCTGAAAAATTAATTAATAAGTTTTTGAACTTTGTGTATGTCAAATTTTGTATATTTTCTGGGATTTTGTTGTAAAAGCGTATATATACATCGCCCCAAGAATGAATTAATGACTCAGCGGAGTTAAGTAACTGGTGCTACTAGCTTGTGTCTCTTCCTAGTATTTACCGAATTTTATTTTTGCGAAACTAGTTTTATTTTTGTGCACGGACATTACATTTTCATAAATTAATTGAGAGGTCTGAGTTAATAATATATTAATTTCCTTAAATTTTTGTCTGAGTGACTCTCTAGATTTTAAATCATATATTGCTCTAATGGCCCTCTTCTGTAAAACAAATATAATTTCAGTGTCAGTCGCGTGTAGCCATAGCAAAATACCATTCGACATTATGCTATGGAAATAGCTAAAGTAAACTAGTCTAGCTGTTTCAATACTGGTAAGCGTTCTTATCTTTTTTTACAGCATATGCTGCAGAACTATTTTTTTTTCTATTACTATTTTTTTTAAGTCTGCCAGCTAGTTTTGATATATAGGCGCCGCATTGAGGCTTTGCGTCTAGTGAGATTCCAAGAAAAATGGTGGTATGAACAAGACTCAGCTCGTTCCCATTTAAAATTACATTAGTATTAACATGTTTGACATTATTAACATTAAACCAATTAATTAACTTAGTTATAGCATTATTTATTTTGTCGTAATTTAGTAACTGTCGTTTTAATTTGAAAATGTATGAGGTGTTATCAGCAAATAATATTATTGGTTATAGTTGGTTATTATTGGTTGTAGCTTTACTTTTTTATAGGAAATACCAGAAGACTTCCGGGGAGGAACGTCAAGGGTGCTAGACGTCTGTTAAGGCGATCGTCAATCCGTCCACCAATCGTGACTATTAAGGCATTTTTTTAAAACTTGGAGAAGTCTATGTGAACTTTTAAGGACTGATGATGATGACAAAAAAAACAATATTCGAATGCATCACACCTCGCTTATTAACTGGAAGGCTTTACCGCGTGCAAATGCAAAGTGCAAAGCAATTGCGTGGCACTAGAAGTGGCACGATGGCACGTGACACTCTTTTGTTAGCTCTTTAAAATAAATGTTTGCCAAATGACAATATCGTATTTATATTATAAGAAGTAAATTAAAATAATCTTTGCTGTTTGCCACATTCGCTTTCTTCTCCGTTTGTTCGGAAACATTTTGCAATCGATTTTAAACTAACTTCCCGATGAGCCAGACTTGAAATTCACTTGAAACTTAGTTTGGGACTCGTAAAGAATAAAAAGATATATTTTAAATTATTGTTATTATTATTATTAGTTGGACTTACTTGCTTGATTTCCGAAAAGAGCTAGTTGTAGATGGCGATTCGTTTAAAGCGAGCAATGGATCACAATCACATTTCTCTTTCATGTTCACTTCGTCGAACCATTGTAATGGCACAGCAAGGCGAACTGTGTCCTCTAGCAATAAACATTTATTTAGTGATGTTAAGCATTTCATAGTTCCCTACTGCAATATATTAGGTCTTTACCTATGAAATTGCCATTTTTTATGATACAAATTAACGCAATTTTTTTTATATATTTTTTTATTTTTTGTTTTTATATTTCTATTAACCAAAGTAATCACCCATGCAATAGACATGCAAAGGACTTAAAAGAATTTAAAATGAAGTTAAAGATAAACATCCAAAAGTAACGTTTTTGGAATGTTTGCAAAAAAACGCCCAGTTTTTCGTTAACACTTTTGTTGTAACAAATAAATTTAGAAAACGATTGCAAATGTACATTAAAAGTTACGAATTTATCTAGCTACGTCTACGTGATAATATTATTTAAAACGAGGTAGTTTAAATTGATTTACATACAATACGTAAGGAATGAACTTAAATAGTACGAGTATGTTGTGATAACGGTAACGGCAATATGTAGTATATTTTTGTTCAAGTTTGTGGTTTTTAAAAATTAATAAATTAAAGTGTCTGAGTTGCACTGTACTTGGAATAAAAAGTCGGAAGAAGAAGAAGGGTGGATTTTTTAGGATGGATAAATGGAATAACCCCTGTTTTGCAGCATGAGGTCGCGCGTTTTTGTGCAGGACGAGCGGTTGACCAGAGCCGGTTGAAGACGTGCGAACTTCTCCTACATTGTGTTCATTGTTAAAAATCAGTTCTTCACAGTACACATCTATAGTAACGATCATCCCGTTTAATAAGAAGCTGTGATGAATCACACCGTCGCTAGATCACCAAACGGTGACCATCACTTTTCTAGAGGTAACTTTTCATTTAGGGCATTGTTTAGATGCTGAACCATGATCCGACCAACTTGCTGAGTGCTTGCGATTATCAAATAGAATCCATTTTTCGTCGTAGGTAACAATGCGGAGCAAAATTCCTTCGTTGGTGTGCCTGTTGAGGAGTGCAAGGCACGTATCGACGCGTACTTCGCGATGGCGATCATTGAGTTTGTGGAGAATCCATTTGGCAAGCTTTTTTAATTTGCCAATTTCACGTCATGGGACCAATATTGTTTTGCTGCTAACTTTGAAAGCTAATGCTAATTCAGCCAAATATTAAGGATCTTAAGCTGCCACAATCACCATTCACCATTGTCACATTAATTCACCATTGTCGACCAAAGTTTTCGGATGACCGCGAGTTCATTTTGCAGGTCAAAATTTCCAGAACGGAAGCAGGCAAACCAATAACAGGTGGTGCATTCGTTTGCAGTATTCGCTCCCTTAACGTCGCTGATGTTGTGTGCCGCTTGTGCCGCGTTATTGCCACGACAGTACTCGTTCCGTAATTACTCAAATTTTTAACGTATCCATGATGATGATAAAGACTCAAATGTGATGAAAACATAAGGTTAATCAATAAAATAATGATTAATTTGAAATTTGAATTCTTAGCCAAACAAAAATTATTTTGATTTGAAATGGCTAGTACTGCAGAAAGGCAATTTCATAGGTAAAGACCTATTATTACTATACGATTTGTTTGAAAAGTTTTTTCTGTATAGTTGAAGCATTTTACACATTTATATGTTACGAAGCGGTTACACCTGGTTACATCAAGGATTAGCCGCCTCCAACTAAGCCGCACATTAACCAACTGTCGTTAATATTTATTATTATTTTAAATACTAACTTTACGTTCTTTCGTATTTTTGATATATTTGACAGAAATCATAGTTTAATAACTATAATTATTACCAATAATGGGTTAATACCCATTATTGGTAATAAATAACTTGAGGTTTCGTATTTTTGACAAAGTCAGTAGAAGTTATGGTCACTTTAATTATTATTTGAGCCTTACTAAATCCCGTTTTTATCTGAGAGTAACCAGCCACACCTAGGTTTGACCATGAATGAATAAAATATAAGATAGGTGATAGGCACCTTAAGCTTGCTGCCATATAAAACCAAAACTAATAGAAGGACAGAGATAAAAACACAAAGTAGTATACTATAACCAATATGCTAAGAAAAAAAATAGCAAATGCATAGTGACAAGGTCAAAGATGCTTGATGACTTTATTGTTTTATTGCCGTTCGTAAAGATATAATTAATATGATTTGAATTTCGATTACGCCTTGGTCAAATACGAGTATGTATAAAATTTGGTTTTTGGAATATTTTGTATTTCTACAGCGATTGATATTTTTCATCACGATCTGCTATAAACAAACGATACAATAACTCACTCACGACGGCGGCCGAGCCCGGAGTGAGTCAAAATGTATTTAGTAAAATATATTATTACAAGGCTGCTCAAACACCGAAATGTTCGCAATTTCTCAGCCGAAAAAAATTAATTATAACTAAAAAAAACAAAACTAAACAGCCATTTACATTCTATTGGTTCCCAGATAATAGACGAAGAGATTAAAAAATAGATTGATTTGAACAATTGGTATTTTCAAAAGTTATTGTGTTGGCGCCCCTCCATGCGACCTTGATAAATCTACACCATAAAACACTAAAACCACTTTTTTAATGTAAAAATAGCAATTAATCGACTTTAAAAAAATTAGTTACACACAATTTTACTTTCTGGCAGTGTGCTTTTTATATCATGTATATATGTTCAATTTAATTGTTATATACGATTTAGCGCGACTAATTTCATACGACAAAACTTTGAAATTCTTGATATTTAGTCGCTAATAGAGCATACCTATGCGGTTGCGCTTAAGGCATGCAATAGAAACAGGAGATGGGCAGCGCCTTCTTGATAACAATGCAATAATAATAATTATATATTATAAAAGCTGTAGTTGTCAACCTGGATATTAGCTAAAGTTGGCATTTGGCAGGCAGGTTGATGATAGTAATTTTTGATTAATAACTATCCATGAGGATAATAAATGTCTGTATTAATATATCTTCCATTCTTTATGTATAATGAACGACAGAAATATGAGTGATTTAAATACTTTTTGATGCTTCCTCTCTTTACCATCATCATCATCATAACTGCCCTTCCTAAGTCTACTGCTAAACATAGGCCTCCCTCAAAGAATGCTAAAAAGCACGGTCCAGAGCCACCTGCATCCATCGACTTCCTGCATGTCTTACTAGGTCGTCACTTACACTAGTGGGGGCCATCCCATAATTCGCTTACCGTTACGAGGCCGCCACTAGAGAACATTACTTCCCCATTCCCCTTCGTCTCTAAAACGTAGTCGTTTATAAATCTCTTTGAGTGAGTATCTGTTCAAATAAGTTCAGAGAAATTTACCGAGTAAATAGTCCTCTGTGGTTGTATATATGGCTTAATCGTCTAAAATGTTATTTACAAATGCAAAATGTTGATGCTAAAATTTTATTTTTTTATGAAGATTAAAAATTCAAATACTAATTACCTCCCGGGTACAGCAATTTAAATAAATCCAAAAACGCCATGAAACAGTAGTCAGTGCTACCAGAGATACGAAGCTCAAAAGGCCAGTGGTATTGACGGAGGAAGTCGCACATCCATAGCTCAGTTTCTTTAAAAAACAGCGTACGGTGGAACGAAGCCCATATTATTGTATTTTCTAAAACATAATATAATCAGTTCTTATTTTTCGTATATAATCAAAGTATTCATCAAAATTTTTATCAAAATTTGCGTCAAATGAGTACACCTGATGGACAGTGAATGTTGTGCCCGATATACATCAACATCTACCCTCGATTAGGAATAAAAATACAGAGATGTGTTTTCACCTAAGAAAATGTAGAAAAGATTACCAGTAAAATGTACACCGGTTCTCACTACAAGTCACACAGCAGAAATATGCTGGAATTTTACGCTTGAATTCTATGAGTCTTTTATTGGTGCCAGTGTGGATTAAAATTTATTTGTATTTTTATGAAATTTTAAGGTGAAGGCTTAACCCTTGAGCAAACACAACTTTTAAGTCCTGATTTTATTCCTGCTTGTGGATGACGTAAAATATAGTGAGCAAAGCTGCATGTCTCGTAAACTAAAACACATAAGAAGACTGCCAATACGCATTAGGGTAGCGTGACGGAATGTTGTTTGTCAATATGAGGAAAGGCCTGCGCTCAGCAATGGAACATATAGTAACAGCCTATACTAATACTATTTTTTTATGAGAGCTTGATCCTTGGGGTTACGTCAACCCATTTGTGTAGTCATAATGCAATGTGGCTTCATTACGTCTACAACAATACTTCAATAGATTTTATGTATTTTTTTAAATCCTTAACAATTTCTTGGTGTACGTAAATGTATAAACTTACTATATCTGGAAGATTCAGCCAAATATTTTTCTAATTTAATATTTGCATCGTTTTGAAAATTTTCCAGCTTGCAGTTAAATTTCTCGGAGCTTTCAGTATAGATATTTTCATAATGCTTTACTCTTTCCCACTTTGCGTAAAAGTTGGCGTAGGAAAATCCCTTTGGATTTCTGTAACCCTCGTTGAACTTAATGATATTATTATTCTAAAAAAGGCAAACAAATATTTATACAGTTTTTTTGTTGGAATATGTTACATTAAAGTTAGTAAAAATTACTTTGCATTTGGCTTAATGAAATAAAATAATGTGTCTTATCTATTTTAAGCACCTCTTGCCCTCCCTCAATTGCGTGTACTATCTCCGTTACCACTAATCCCAGCACCACTGCTCCTAGCACCACTAGTTCCGATTAGGGGTCACTTGAGAATGCCTCGTGTAGAGGAGAAACACGTGGCGTATTTTCGTCAGTAGTGGAGTTTCGTCAGGGTTTATTTCATTAAGCAAATGGGGGCAAAGTAACTTTACTAATTTTAATATAATATATTTCCGCAAAGTAACGCCTGATTCTACGAAATATGTTACCTTTACGTTGCTTTCTGACGTACTGTCGAGGCGTTTTATGTATATAAATTGAACATGGACGAACATACAGATTTAAAATAATTAGTTCTGTGCTATACAAATTCTTATTTCTTACTGGAATCAAAACCGCAGTCAAACAGTTAACTATAACGCTACCGAGCCGTTTTTAATATTTTAATATCTTTTAATTTTTAGTGTACAAGCAGTATAAGTACTACATGATGTTAGGTACTACATGAGCAGTATCTACTTGGATTCGCGTTAAAGGATATATATTGTTACGAGATTAGAGTTCGTGACAATAAAAACTGCCGATTGAATTGCCAAAATTGACACTTTAATTACTGAACACCAATTAAAACTTAAATTACACTAATTATTATTCACACTTAACACTTTAGTTCACTTTATTTCACTCCAAAAGCTTCGCTCGTATCAATTCAATACTGTCTCAGTGGGGGGTTCAACGCCTTTATATATGCCTTTTTCACTGATACATATAGAATATTCCAGCAAATACCGGCCCCCGATCGACCAGGTGCAGAAAGTTCGAGTGTGGAGCTTTCCAGAAAGCCTATTTCTTCTATTCGATACTAGATGGAGCTGTTGGTTGAAAGTTCAGTCATGGCATTTTCTGGAAAGCTCTCCTCACTCTGTTCCCCGACACTAGATGGCGCTAGTGCCAGGTACCAGACATCAACTTAGGCGCACAACAATATTTTATAAAGAAGTAAGCGTGACAAACAAGCACACCGTCTACCTGATGGTGGTTATTATTCTTTGATACCTATATCTACCCTTAATTAAGGATCAAAAGGCAGATGCGTTGTTGACCCCTGAGGCCTATGATAGAAGGTATATATACCAGTAATAAATTGAACAATATTTGATTTTTTAATGATTTATTTTATTTAAAACTTTTTAGTATCCAAGTCTATTGTGTATAGGTTTTGACGATTTTTCAATAACTATGCGACTTAGAAAAGTCGATTTCCTGAAATAAACGGTGTTTATTTATTACATTTTTCTTCAAAACTTCAAAGTATAGGGTTCAAAATTTATTGAGAACAATTTATTTGTTGCGTTTTAAATGTGATTGGGCGACGGATATTAGTAACTATTCTTTTTTTCACATAATAACACGAGGTCCGACACAAATATTGCACATTTTATATACCAGTTATAAAAAAAAAATTAAATTTAACCATACAAGTTATATTCAGTATTCGACAGGTTTGGTTATTTTTTATTAACGTATTACTATTTTCCACCAAATACCGAAATAAATAATTTTGTTTATTTAAAAAAAGGCTATCTAAGAACGCTTGGCTTTTTAAGACGAATAAAATCCATCCGGCCTTTAGGAAGATTCGAGGTAATAAAGAAATTTACAAACATAAAAGATAACCCTTCCTTGGCAGTCGGGTAAAAAGAATTAGATTTTCGTTACAAACTGTACTGAGTAACGTCAGGATTATGCTGCCATTTTACGCTGATATTCTGTGAGAACATAAGAGTATGGTTCTTCCCACAGAAATAGTGATAATAAGATAATAGAAGTTGTTTAGACGCGTGATCTTGTTGCCGCTGTGAAGTTTTGACGGATATCATTCACCATTTTATGATTTAGTTACTCGGCGAACGCCGTATGTGAATTTAAGTTATTATAATGGTGAACTGCAGCACAATCAGTTGTAAAAACTCATCCAAGACGTGTAATGCAACTAATAAACGCATAACATTTCATCGGTAAGTTGATTATTTACTAATTATCATTGTTTTAACTAATATTCATCTAGATGAATACTTTACTATGCTGTTTACCTTTGTAAACTTTCATTTATTACTTTTCGTATTGTACAATTACCATTGCTGGTTTTGTTCTACCGTAATAAGCGACGCACGCGACGTTGACAAACTCGTCAAGTAATGTAATGTGAAACATCAGATATCATTGTGCATTGCGGATGTTTATAATACGGCTGCAGGGATCGGTCGCTTAATGTGTATGTGTTAAGATGTTGCGCCATCGGTTTTGGAAGTAATCAAGTGCTAATTCATTTCTATTGTCTTATTATTACTATTTATGTGGTTCTTCCCGATCAATTATTAAGACTGTAGCACAAAAAGGTCTAGACCACACATGCTGCGACCTTTTTGCAGCGTACAAGCGGGGCCACAGCGAGGCTCTACCAATTGATAAATCTGCACGTTGAGTCACGTGCCAGGTAGATCAATTCTTATACCTGTGAAATTTTCTTGGGGCAATCATGCTGTTTTCAATGTCAATTTTAGATGGTATCCTAACGAGAAGCTGGAGAAGCCCTGGGTTAGAATCAAACTTACGTGAAGCACTAGTTTCCAAATATAAATAAATTACGATTATTCCTAGACAATTTAACACAGCATAGTCTAAATCTAATTGTGTTATATACCCAGTAGACTTTTTTTAAATTATTTTATATGTATGACTTCTATCGGTCAAGTAAGAATAATTTAAGCTACGCGGTGATTGAAACCACATCTTATTGTCTGTGTTGTTCGGCCGATTATTTAAGACCATAAGTGTTTTTAAATTGTGTTAGTAAAAATCATTCATCAGCTTTGCTCATATTGCCCGATAAAATAATTCTTTACCGTTTCATTGGTTAATGTAGCTTTTGTCGCAGCGGTGTACACACAATCTTTGTTGTACGGAATTGGTAAGTTGTAACTTCCAACTAGTGTAATTTTTAAATAATTCGCTTCCCTAATTATATCATGATGCTTAGCGTTTGATGTATCTCGATGTACCGACAGTTTCATTGTGAGAAGTGGAAGATTGTCGAAACTAATCGCGTTTAAAACTGATGTTTGTGTTACTGGACGCATGCGTACTTTTACGTTCATTTCATCTGTATCTAAAAAATACACATACAAATACAGCACAAATAAAAATATAAATTTTGCTTTCAAAAACGGTGCTTTTGATGAAATATTACTAATATAAAAACACTTGCTATGTAGTGGTGGTATAAGAATATCCACTAACCGATATCGCCCTGTGGATGTCGAAAGAGCCTTCTTACGATACCCACCCAAACATGAGATTGACGGAAGCATGTGTCTGATAACAATTCAAAATTGTAAAAAAAAACTGCGGTTGACAACCCTGTAACACCACAAACGCAATCTGTGGACTAATGTCAAGCAGTGAAATTTTTATTGGATGGATGGTTGGATATGAACTGCTAAAGAATTTTGCCGTGTGGTGGTGAAGTGACCGAATAAGTAACCCAATTATGACCCTATAGTACTTTTTTTAAGTAGATAATAATGTACTCAATACAGTCAGTGTGTCGTAAGAGGCAAGTGTGGGACATTACAGAAAATATTTTGGCTTCCGATAAATGGCGGCATATCATCTCATTTACGTCCGACGTATATATACCCAGACAGGCGACAGGCAGTAGCGTCAAGGTTGCAAGACTAGGTAACGCGATCGACAGTAACACATGTTACGGTTAAGGCAAATCCATCCCATAATCGGAGAGTTTCATGTAGAACAGTGGATTTATACGTGCTAGTAAAAAGTAGAATAATAGTTTCTATAGTATTCACCACGGGTAGTGTTCTGAGGAATTGTTCGGATTTGTTCCAGCCGCCAAATTTCACGAATGCACATTGCGTCAAAATTCACGATACCATCCTCACCATCTGGATGCTTGGCGGTCCATCACTGTGCGTTTTACTAGGAGTTTTCGTCCTCGTCCGGCTATTTTTCCGAACCGATACAACTTAGAGATCTTCAAGAAAAGCGGTTACTCATTTCTAAAAGGCCGGCAATGCACCTGAAATTCCCCCGGTATTGCAGTTGTTCATGGGCGGCGGTAGTCACTTACCATCAGGTGAACCGCATGCTCGCACTTGTCTTCTATAAAAAATGTCCTTCAAATCAAATTTCGGTCACATTGGCCAGTCACAACGGAGACCAGCGATTTACGCACGTCAAGATAATCGTGCACGTGTGTGCATACATACTACACAGGTGTATTCTCTTTTCCCTGTCTTTTCACTGTCATAGTCCGATGGGATGAATGGGTCCGATGGGAAAAAATATTTTCACAAAATGAATTTAGTATTCATTTTGTGAAAATATTTTTTGAAATGAATACTAACGTGAAATTTTAAATTTAAAATTGAAACACCTACTAACCGAGGAACATCGGTAAAATATCCACATTGCAGCTACTCATATTTGTCGTGTTCTTGAGGAATTCTGTATCTAATATCTTATGTTGACTTATATTTGATTTAGAATGGAAAACGGATGATACATTTGTTTCTTCCTTTGTTATAGGTCGTATGGTTACTGTAAAAATATAGTGTGATTTTGTGTAAATAGTTTATTGATATATTCTATTAAGATTATAACTTGCATTGATTTTTTTTAAATATGTGAAATAGAATAAAATCATGATAAAGTAGAGCGAAAATACCGAAACAAAGCGTGTGCATACTTCGGTAAAATACTGAAATCTCGTATTTAGCCAGACTGTTTCATGTAGACCTAAAAAAAATTTAGCAACCCAACCTTGTCACATAGTGAAAAATGGTACAATATGCATCTCCAAAATTGTCGTATTAGTTTTATCATTAACTTAATGACGACGGTATTCATGATGCCATCCGATGTAACACGGCTACAACTTAGTACATGAGCGGTGGTAACAGCGTCTTGAAAATTTGTCACATTTTGCCACGATACGACACACAAAGCGGCGCGGCGTCGCACAGTTGGCACTACGCTGTGATTCCATGTGACATGCCAGGTCAATCGAGGTCGCTTTCAATTTAAAGCGCACTTAATCGTCTAGTGTTAAATTTATCGGCACTGCGATCAGACCTATACATACTCTGTTACACCTAGCGGAGGATTAAACATTCAAGCTGCGTTATGTTGCTTCAACGATTCTAGATAAAATTTATTTTACCTACTGTGTTATGAATATTAATAGCGAAATAAATTGAAGAAGATCTAAACCTATTAATGGTGTATCTGCAAAGAGACTTATTTTTTCTTTATCTGACGGGTCGTAATTCATCACACCTTGCACTATAACCTCTCCTTTAGGTGATTCTTTGGCCCATAAAGAGGTTATTACTTCATCAACGATTAGCTGGTCATAAAATACGACTTGTATAGAAAAGTGCATTGGTTGTTTTTCTGGTACTTGAAGACTCAACACTTTAACTACGAGGACATCAAATGGCGGACTATGAATTGATTCTTTCAATTGAACCTCTAAAACAGCTTTTTTCGGATCTGATTTATTCTGAAATTATAATACGAAGCATTAATGATAATGAATTGCATACTTAAGTAGATATATTAAGACAGCTTAGAGAAATAAATACTTTTCCTCTCTTCATATTCTATAACAAATTCTGTTCCGTTTTGTGTTGCTTTATTTTTTACCAAAATAAACTACGACGTTTCATTTACTATACCCACGCATTTACGCTTGTCATATTGATTGACAGGGAACTGCAAACTGCCAGTTAAGACGTAGTTATTATGTAATCTTTGGTGCCAGTAAAAGAGTATATTTTAACTAATAATAATTTGCAAACCCGTTCCCTTTATGTAATAGAGCAAGAGATTTTTTCTGTGACGACTATAGAGTTTGGGTTGTGATTACTTAGGCGGGTAACAGATAGTAAAGGTGTATAAAATAGTACCTTAAATTCGTTAAAGTATAAAGCTCAATTTTTTACTTCTTCGGGATCACTTAAGTAATCTCGTCATCCATTGCCGGACACTTATGATACACGTCCGTCATACATATGATGTGATTTGATGATTGTGAGAGAATAGAGAGTGCACCTGTGTTTGCACATTCAGACACTATAATTCTGTATTGTGCAGATAGGCTAGTCTCCGTGGAGACTAGCCGCTGGGACGAAAATTCGGTTGAGAGAACACTCAACCCAACAATCAATCCAACTCTCAACTCAACCTAACACTCATCTAACTCGATTACTCGAGGCACAACCGAATCACTAATGATAATCACGAGGAGCGCGTTGTTTGTCAGTATGTTCATGATTATAATAATGACTTGATTAAGTGTTGTTAGACGAGGAAGATTATATTTTTTTAGAAACTTAAGTCTTAATTGCTGCATTTTTGTAATTATTGATCACAAATATTAAATAGATTACGTATGTTTTGATAATTTGAGTTCGTTAAAGCAGCAGGCCTTATTATCCAACCATAGAAAAATAAGGTCTACTAGCAAAGTTTTTAGAAATGTTTAATTTTGTTTATCTTTATGGCAAATGTTACAATTTTTCGTTCATACTTTTTAGAAACTGTACTACTACTAATCCAACGACTTTTATTAAAATATGTAGACCAAATTGGATATATTTTACGTTTTATTCAAATGTCCCTTAGCTAGGCCTTATTACCCGCAAGTACCTTATTTACATTAAATGGAGGTTGCTTTTATCTGATTATATTCGTGTATAAATAACGATTGTAATCATCTCAGAATCTATAAAACATTTATAAAGTGATTATCACAGCAAACATAGTCTATTCTATTATATACCACAAGTCCACAAGCACATTGTTGAATTTAAAGTGCATTTTTAAAATGTATGGCTTTATAACTATATTGAAAGTGTGTCTTGCAATTTTGCTATTTTCTGAAGCAAATTCTTTAGATTTAAGATTAAACAAAGATTGGGACAATTATGTGAGTTTGTGTTCAGTTCAAAATTTATACGTAATAATGTATTTTGTTCTTAAAAACAGCATTTCATAACGTTTTGTGATGTGGTAGAGCTATGCTGCATCTATATGGGTAGTATAGTTGTAGCACGAATAGGTCGGCTCGACCGGGGAAGGGCCACGCTTTCACGTAATACCAGCGTAAAATAGCAGCTCAACGCTACTGGAAACGAGGCATTCCATCTTAGTCCTAACGGGTGAAAACGCATCCGTATTTTAATTTGTAATCGAAGATAGATGTAGATGTCTATGGGTTACAGTAACCACTACCTTGCTAATAGGTACGACGTAGTCATTTAAGGAACTTTTTTCCCCGGTGGTTGTCGTATCTCAGCACTTGACTCAAAAACCTCGATAGTGTAACGTCTATGTTGGGAGCACTACTCTCAAAGTTATTGACGAGTGTGTTTCTATTGATCCAAACACATCAATAGAATATAGGGATATTTTATATTTAATTAAATACCTAAAAATCTATGAAGAATTTTCTGACTCTGATTATAAAGTCTTTAATAAAAAATAAAAAAAAACTTTTCGTATTTTTTGTTTTCAATAAAAATGTAATTTTTTTTAAGCGCCGTAAAAATTACTATGATAAAAAAATTTATTACTTCTTATAAAACTATTAATTTTAGTTAAATTTAGTGTTGCCACCTCTTATATTAAATATACATCCACATCGATTGTTCATTCATAAAATTAAATTGTCAATGATTGCAGCAAGACGCTGCTGTATGAGGTGAGGTCCCATTTTCTTCGCAAGTGTTCGTAAAGTTGTTGTTCCGTCGTCAAATTTGGCGGTAAATCTCTCAAAGATTTTCGTTGTAACATGTCCCAGGTATGCTCGATGGGATTTTAGTTAGGTGACTGTGCAGGCCAATCCAAAACTTCAATATCGTGGTCTAGGTGAGTGGCCGACCCCGACACCAGCCGCGCCGTATAGGAAGTAGCATTATCGTGTATGAGTGGAAATTCCTGGCCTATTTGTATTCTGTGTGGGGCAATAACAGGCTCTACTACCTTCTCGTGGTATTTTTGTGCAGTTATGCTGCCCTGGATCCAAACGAGCTGGGTTCGTCCGTCAAGACGAATTCCTGCCCACACCACAATTGTCCCGCCATGGACAGCACCAAGACCATTCGTCATTCCATGGTAAATGCTCCCGAGTCCACGAAAGCCGCCGACCGCGATTGCCACGACGCAGTGCTGGAACACGTAGCGCTTCGAGCATGAAGACCAATTTCATACAATCTCCTTTGCTCGGTTTGGTCACGAAAGAGTAGTTCTCTTGGAGGTTCTCTTGGAGCCTTTGTAGTAGTTCCATCGCTGTGATATTGGGTTATCTTCTGGCGTTCATTTTAAGAAATCAATCCTGTTTCTGCGTAGTCATATCCCGAGTACCGCGATAACGTGACTACAAACTTGATATCACGTTTTGGCTGGTGTGTAGGGCTTCAGAAACATTTTATAACATGCGCACGGCTCGTAACATTTAATCTCGACCTAAATGACAACGTGACTTGACTCTTAAAGTTCGCACGGCACGTTAAATTGAAAAAGAAAAACAATCTAATCCCTTTTCACTAATTAATATCAGTAAAAGAATTTTAATTTTCCTTAACATAACGAATTACTAACAATTTTGTCGCCGTATTTTGTCCTTCCTTGTTTTTCTTATTTACATTTTTGAATTTTGAAAATAGAATAAAAGAGGTTCCAATATGTATATAAACCTTTTGTGGAAACAAAAATATTTTAAACAATAAAGTCCTAATTAATTTAGGATTAAGTTATTCCTAGATTCTGTTGATGTGTGTATGATATCTAGGATAAAGTTCGACTAGGTAAGCACAACTTCGACCGAGAGGTTAGTTGACGGATCCAACTAAATTGGGCCGCTTTCAAGAGGTTATCACTTATCTTCACGATATATATAACTTAAAACTTGAAAACAACAGTGTACACCACACTACTATGATGACATATGGATCTGGGACGGGGTGCTTCACTGCTGGCCGTATGAGGAAGCTGAAGGTTGCTCAGCGAGCTATGAAGAGTTGTACTTTGAGTTTGAAATTTCTTTGCGTGATAGAGAGATTCAAAATGAGAATATACATAGAATAACAGCAGCCTATATAGCTGGATCAGTAAACTGAAGGGCCGACCATACAATTTTTCATTACTAGTTTAAATAAAAAAAAGTTGCTTATTTACAGGGCCCATATGATTTAGTGTGGAGTCGTTATGAAATTTGTAATGGCCCAAAAGTAACGAATCTTACATTTTAAATCTTGCAGAGGAAGGTGACAGTTACTTATTTTATTTTTTATTGTTTTAATTTCACGTTTTTTGCACAGTCACGAATTGATGAGGTACGTGTGAGAATTAAATGTATTTATTATAAAATGGTGGCATAAGTCCGTTTTATTCTGGTGAGGTACTAAGAATGAACAAAGGGAAAATATCAGGTAGATCTTGAGTCTTCCGACATGTATTGAAAGGTAACTGTCTGATATTACATCTTCTGACATAGTGACACATTTTCGACCAATGGGAGTTCTGAATAAATCAGAGCCTCTCTTATGCCTAGATATTTTCGGTTATTCCGTTTATCCAACCTAAAAAATCTACCCTAGGGTGGAGGTCTTCATCTATCCACCCCATACGGGGTTTATGATCGGAATTCACTTTTATTTGTTCTTCTGACGTTTTATCCCAAGAACAGTTTAACACATACACTTTAAATATTAATGACTTTTAAATCGATTTATTTAAAAACGTGAATTACGTATTGAATTTAAATTTAAACTTCCTCGTTTTAAATAATATTATTACGTAATTTATAAATTCTGCAATATGTAGAGGAAATTATCAACAGTACTTTTATTATTGAGTAGACTTAATTTCATATCCTGGATAAATTCGTCACACTAAATGTACATTTGTAATGGTTTTCTAAATTTAATTGCTACAGCGGAAATGTGATCAAAAATAAACGGGGCGTTTTTTATGCAAGTATTTCAATAACATTACTTTTGTCTTTAACTTCATTTTAAGTTATTTTATGCCAATATTCTAATGAATTTATAATCCTGGTACTACTTAAATATCAGCGTTGACCTTTCAAACAAAAAGAATGTATGTTGAATGACTATTTTTGCCGTCTGGATAAAATAGGGTATAATAGGTATGGCACTGATATTTTACAAAAACTAAAAACAAAAATTTTGAAGTAATGAATGTATAATAAATAATGTATAAATGAATTAATTAAATATTGAAAATTTTAAATAAATCAACAAAATTCTATCTAAATTCAAATCACCCCACTTTACGAACGGCAATAAAACAAAGAAGGAGACAGGCAAAAGCTCATATAAAGTTGGGCTTGATGTTACAGTAACCATTACTGCATCATTTTACTTTTAAACTAACTAGATTTTTACTCGCGGCTTCGCTCGCGTGGGCTTGAATTTAGAAACATCGGTAATATTATTTCGTACAAAAATTAGCAAAACTGGATCACTTGCAGAGTTACTCGTGTGAGCTATGCAACCGAGACTGTCACAAAAATTTTAATAGTTATGTCTGAAAATATAAAAGTTATCTCAATATATTACAAACTGTTTTAAAAATCTCAAAGTAAAAAAGGCTGCATCAGCGGTATCACGAACTATTCTATCAATTATGAATAAAAATCTCATAGTGCATTTAATTTTCATTTATACTTATATCGGATTTAATACAAAAAGAATTCGGTAAAGTATTGCTATGCCGATAGGTAGACATATAAAAAAATATTCAATTAAAGACGTTCATTAAAATAAAAATAAATTATGCAATTTAGATCATACAGGTCATCTAAACAACACTTTAATATTATATACGACAATAACAAAATCGATGAAGTAAATAACTATACATTTTTAAGAGTAATAGCTATTTTCAGTAGCATATTGATATCGTTTGTAAAAAACTTTAAAGTTTTGCTTTTGCTTTAAAATGTGTTAGGCAAAATATAGGCTGCTCTCACCGCGTACCATGGCTACGTATCATCGGTACTTAGCTATGGAATATTGCTTTAGCCTCTCGTAAGTCGGGGTCATTTTGGCCAATATGGCGCATCTGTCGAGCACTTCCCGAAGTACTTCCAGACTATTTCCTGCTGTTCATTAAAATGACTATTTCCAAGACATTTTGTATAAAAGGTATATTAAAATCATATATCAATGGAAACTTTATTAAATAAGCTATCAGATTATGTATAAATTGAATACAGGTTTACTTCGAAAGTGATACCAATTTGAAAATTAAAGTAAGAAATGTGTTCTTCCCCAATTTTCTGCAAAGGTGTAATAATTATAAATTAAAGTCTTTATTCCAAGTACTATTTGTTTTACTTGTACGTCCAAAGCATATTTAATTATAAAAAAAAAACAAAAAAAAATTTTCATAAGTTTTTTTGTTTAGGACAAGGTCGAGAAAGGCCTCACTTAGCTCTACTCGACATCGGGACAAAAATAAGGAGGTTCACAAAAAACACATTATTAAATCAAATTTAGACAAAATCAATCACGCAGATATATATGTTATGTATATGTATGTTATATATATCATATATATGTTACAAATAGTTTGCTATCACTCGACGCCATATTATGGCGTTTGACAGATGCGCATACTATTTGAGACGCAAAATATGGTGTTTGGACAGACGAGGGTTTAGGGTAACTCTGTTAAAGTAGAAAGAGCACTTTCAGTTCAAAAACGATGCATCTGTGCCTTAAGGAACATTTAGTTGTTAGATAGTTGTAAACCGTAATCGTATAGAATAGAAATTAACATTTACAGGAAGGAAAACACTTAACTTTCCTTTTTTGAAGTCCCGTAATCAGATAAAAAGTAGCTTATAAGTAGCTCCGGCTCCGTAACAACCTACACACAAAATTTCAAGGAAATCTGTTAAGTAGTTTTCGCGTGAATCTTTAATACACAGACAGACAGACAAAAATTCTAAAAACTACTAACATGGCTTCAATACCCTTTGTTTAGTTAAGGTCATTGGCATTATACGAGAAAAAACCACCACCAACCAACGGCTTTACGTGCTTTCCGAGGCACGGGGGTAAGATAACGCCAACTTTCTGACTCTTGGAAGTTAATGAGAATTTCTTGAGGGAAAAACTCAATAAATTGATTTTTTTGTCCCGACCCGGTATTCGAACCCAGGACCTCATGATCAGCTGTCACACTACTACAACCACTAGAGCACCAAGGCATTGAAAATCAAAAATAAAAAACAAAAGTGCAAAAACAAAAGAGAAAAAGAATTTTTGGTAACTTAAGGCTAAAAATGTTGGCTGCAACTAGTGTTGCCAAAATGCAAGAACAAGACGAGACTTAGCCAGTCTTGGTCTTGCGCCAATACACCTGGTCTTGGTCTTGGTATTGCGCCCCCAGTCTTGACCTTGGTCTTGGTCTTGCAGCATGACTTGCTAGCAAGTCTTGCAATTACCTATTAGCTTATTGCTATTTATTAAACGTTACTTTAGATCTTTGGATAACTTAACAGAGCAGGTACATTTTGAGCTTGAATTAACACAGCCATAGTAATCACCAACCAAATTAATAAATGTCTAAACTGTCTGTCATATAATAAGAAATTCTAAAAATCAATTGACACCGGGTGGGGTTTGAACCCACGACCTAAGCGATTCGTGCAGATGTTCTAACCAACTGAGCTATTTATCGTGCCTTGTGAGATCAGCATAAAGTATTCGTGTCCGTTCTGAGCACACGGAAACTTTTTTATTCTTTGAAACATGTACAAAGTGTTAAATGTTGTGCGTGCGGCGCAGCGGCGACGATTTTTTTTAAACGACGACGATTGCATGCGATATCAAGAGAAGTCGCTGCGCCGGCACGTGTATCTTGACCTTGTACTTCCGAATAGCTGCAAAATTTCTTTAACAAGTTAGTATCCAATCTTTGATGATGCCGAAAACAAGACGCCACGCACTAACGCACTATCAAAGTACCGATGGTCAAAATTAGGGATGCACTCTTTTTTCTTTTAATGAATATTTTCATTCGCTATGTATATTTATGGTATTGTTCGTAATGCAAATAAGTCCAATTTTACAAATTTTTTATATATTTTTTGCGTCTCATAGAGCCCTTAAGCGTATACCCGACCTCCTATACTCCCCGAAACGACACACAGTCCTAATTGTAAGACGCAAGAGTCTCAGGCAGGTAGGCTTAGCCTTGTTCTTGCTCAAATCTTGCACGGTCAGTCTTGGTCTTGGTTATGGGCAGCCCTAGCTGCAATGATGTGTCAGCCGCTGAACTTGGCCGTCTGGCGTATACATAACGAAAGAAGTGCTTGCGTCACGCTCGCTCACGTAACTTTCACTCACTAGCGATCGTAGCCTATTTTTAGTTTTACGCAAAAGCCTTAGGATGAATTAATTGCTTTTATGTATTTTTTTTGGATATTCGGAAATTTTGCCTAGGCATCTATTTATTTTTAATCTATGGTAACCGCAGTTAACTATGACAGCTGGACGTTGAACATCTCAGTCCTTCCCGTGACCATGGGTGCTGTAAAGCTCTCGAAACGTCGGGTAATTAAAAAGTTAAATATACGCGATAAATTCCGTAAAAACTAGTATTATTTCAATGTGTAGTGTTCGCGTAAATATAAGAAATCATTATGTAAACCAGTACAGACTGGTAATTGCAAATAAAATTTTTTTATACTTTTACAGGGGTGTACTTGTTTGAGTACAGCGGCCACTTATGTGTGAAATTTTTCGAAGCATGACATTTCAACTTAGAGTGCTTTCAAACACTTCTTGCACTCCCATCGGACGCTTGCATGGCAAATGACGCACCGTAATTGCTTTTCAAGCTTCCTTGGGTAGTGGCCTGAACTATCTTGAGGCAGCCCTTCGACCATAGAAGATGATCTCGCTCTTTTTAGTTTCTTGTCGCAAATAGTATATGCCAAGACTACGTCAAAACAAGAGTTGATCCATTGGGTCATCCTTGCTCATAACATGTAAACGCCAAACATTTGAAACGCCCATGTCCAATAAGTATGTAAATAAATCCCACCAACACTTTTTGCCATGAATCCCGATCCTATATAATTATATGGACTAATCAAGCTCATCGACTCCACCCGTAACTTTATTGTAGTTTTCAAACAAGAGCGGAATCCTTACATCGATTTTCTTTCTCATTTGTGAGCACCATCTTTTTACCGTGCCCATTGGTTCAAAGTAATCATAGTTAGTAGCCATCGTGCAGACATTATTGTCTTTCCATCTGACCAACAACAGTTCATTATTAAGATATTGCATAGCTTCTATCGCGGGCCTTGAGCGCGGGGACCGAATCCAGATATTCCAGAGTGCCACACGTATTTTTTTTATCAAACCTGTAATCAAAAGCAGCTCTCTTTCCTCTTCATCTCCTCAGCGGTTATCAATGGGCACATTTTAGTGCGATTCTCACGAACTGTTCCAATAGCGCAGTAACCCAGATTGCGCATGCGCAAATCAACCAAAAGATTTACAGCTTGTGAAAGAGTTGTCAAAAATACTTTATGATTTTTTGGGCCGGTATCTAATTTTGACAACAGAGACTTCACAACTCTGGTTCCCAAAGGTTCATCAGAAGAATCAAGTGATTTTCCATAGTAAAAATCAAATGTTTATTAGTACCTAGTAGAACTTACAGCAACCCAGTTCTTATATCCAAAAATTATATGAAAAGTGTGTACGCGCATTAAAGTATCACGTCAAGATGGAGAGGCTGTGATTGGTCGAATTCATCGCGAGCCGGCGCAGTGGCATCACGTCATCTTTTGTCCCCTCTCTGTAATGTTATATATAGCTCACGCAGAGTTCGTCTTGTCACCACGCATGTAAAACTCTTAATTTGTTAATGAACAAAATAAAGTCACATTTATCTAAAAGAAATAAAAACATTTCTGCGCATACATAACTTTTGGACCTTCATCGCCGATATTGGAAACCAGCAGTTGGAAGAAACATAAAGCGGATTAATAGAGATAACGCAACCGGCAATCGCCTTCGGTCGCAGCACATTGATTTTGGTGAGACGTACCTGCCTGGTTATTTGAGAGGAGCATTTAGATATTGTGTATTATCCGTGGTTACTTTTTAAATTTCAGTGTCCCAATTATCAAATCTTATCTGCCAAAATAAGAATACCTATCACGCGTAGCAGATTGCAGTAGCAAAGGCCTCGTCATCATTATTGACTTAACGCCGTAAGTTTGAGAACTGCAACTGTAAGTACTCCTGTTTTTTATAAATTGCTAAAATGCCTAACGGAGACCCAAAGTCAGGTTTATCAAAATCTAGTTCTTTAAGTAGTGATCAAATTAAAGAATTAATCAAAAAAAGGGGAACAGTTAAGGGTAGGTTAACGAATTTTCGAAAATATATTTCCTCTTTTATAGATAAAACATTAACTAATGAACAGCGCGCGGAGTTAAAATTGCGTATGCAAGGTGCATTAAGTCTTTATAAATATTTTAATGAAATTCAGAATTATTTAGAAATATCTCTTTCGGAAAGTGATTTAGTAAAACAGTTAGAAGAACGTGAATGTTTTGAAAGTCTTTATTATGGCGTCCTCGCTCAAACGCAATGTATGATAAATAAAGATAATGAGATGAATATTCCTAAATCGGCAAACAATACAGCTTGAGGTTCGTGACAATAAAAATTCCGATAAAATTACCTAAATTAATACTTTAATTTACTTTACACAAATTAAAACTTAAAACACTAATAATTAAACACACTAATTTACTTAATTCCGCTCCGAAGCTTCGCTTGTGTCGCCGAGTTCACTCTGACCCGATCGCACCTTGCAGCGCCTACTTATTTAAATTAGCAAATATCCAGAATGTTCAAGCAAACACGCGTAAGGTATCGAGAGTCCGTGTATAGATTTTCTAGAAACTTAGTTTCTTCGGATGGCGCTGTCGGTTGTGATGTCATTCACTGCAAAGCTCCCCCTCGCTCTCGTTCCTGACACTAAATGGCGCCAGTGTATCGTTGACTGGAGCGCGTAACACTGCCTCCTCCTAAGACATGCTCGTCCCGAGCATTATCGGCCCCATAATAACGCGCCAAGCGATTCACATGGACGATCTTAGGAGTCCCTCTTGCGCCTTTCTGTAACGGCTCCGCAATGTCAAGGGCTGTCCTATCCCGTGGTGCACCAACATTGTACAATTTCGGTGCTCCTCTACTACGTGTCCGAGGTCCCCGCTCGGCCGCACAACTTGTACATGTACGACACCAATCCTCGACATCGTCACGATAATGGACCCAGTAGAACTGTTCTCGGACCTTCAGTAGAGTTCGTTTAACTCCCAGATGGACTATTGAACGACCATTATGGCACAACTGTAGAACATTCGGCACTTTAGCTTTAGGGACAACCATTTGCAAACGACAGCAGTCTCTTCGACCATTGTCCCATTTACGGTACAGGACTCCATCCTGAATCAGCAAGCTGTCCCATTGGGCCCAATAGCTTTTCGTGGTTGAACTCATCGCTGAGACGTCCCTCCACTTAGGCTTGGTAGCACGGGCCTTCATCCATCCCAGAATCGGCTTGATGTCCGGTTCTTCCTGCTGTGCATGTCGTAGGTTGTCCTTCCACCCGTTGCTGAGGTGGTCTGTCCTGAGCATCCTCACGGATACCACCTCCTTACTCTCTTGCCTACTACAATGGTTGCAATCTTCAGGACAAGGTCTTCTTGACAATGCATCTGCGTTGTCGTGAGATTTCCCGCTGCAGTGTCTGTTAGTAAAGTCGTATTCCTGCTGCTGCTGGGCGGTGCTGTTAGCCGCACTTCCTTTCTGAGACCGTTCACCTTCCCTTCGTAGGGTGTGCTCAGGGTAGCTGGACCGAAGATGGCCCCTTTCCCCACAGCCATAGCACCTAGGGCTGTATCTTTTATTGTGGTCGCGAACCGTAACTGCTGTAACCTCCCTAGCGTGAGGTGAACGATGATCCTGTCGCCGCCAGGCAGTGTCGTTAGCTGCACTACCCTCTCGAGATCGATCAACTCTCCTTTCAACGGTTCGCTTAGGGCAGCTGATTCGAAGATGGCCCGTTTCCCCACAGCCATAGCACCTTGGGCTGTATCCTTTGTTGCGGTCGCGAACTGTAGCGGCTGCAACCTCCCTGACGCGATGGGAACGATGATCCTGCCGCACGGCTTCTACCTCCAGTGCATGGGCCAAGGCGTCCTTAAGCGTCTCGTGGTGCCCGAGCCTCACAGCAGCTCTGACTTCCAGGTCACGGATGCCGTCGATAAATGTCTGCACCAGGTTCCCTCCAATGAGCGCAGGTACAGACCGGTATGCCTTTCGCACCAGCTTCTCCACCTCTAGAGCCCACTGCTGCAGGTTTTCGTTGATGCGCTGCACGCGATCTTTAAGCTGCGCACGAAAGACGTGTTCCAGGTGAGCGTCGCCATACCTCGCCTCCAATGCCTCAATGAGTTGCTCATAAGTCACTTCCTCACCGAGAGCTTCCAGAACTGTTAAGGCCTGGTCGCGCAGGCCTAGTGTGAGAGCAGTCATGGCCTGACTTTCATTCCAGCCGTTCGCCTTCATAACAGCCTCGAACTGGATCTTGTAGGCTGACCAGGAAGAGGTACCGTCGAACGGCGGCACTTTGAATCCACGTAGCGAAGGTGTTGTAGCTACTACGGGAGCTGTTGTTCCATCCCCAAGTTTGAGGTCGTCCAGCGTTTTCTTCACGTCAGCCATTACGTTGTCAACCCGATTGTTTACTTGGTCGATTCGGGTTTCGGCCTCCGACAGGCGGTTGTCATGTTGAGCAACCTTATCCTTCACCTCCCGTATCTCTTTTCCGAAGATAGCGTGAAGGTCCTTCATGAGGAGTATCTGCTCTTCCTTATCGCGTTGGAGTTGCTCTTCTAAACGACGGGCCTGTTCCTCCTGTCAGCGGGCCTGTTCCTCCTGCCGGCGGGCCTGTTCCTCCTGCCGGCGGGCCTGTTCCTCCTGCCGGCGGGCCTGTTCCTCTTGTCCGCTTTGCAGCTGCTCTTTCAACTGACGGGCCTGCTCCTCCTGTCGGCGAGCCTGCTCCTGCAGCATCACCATCAGAGCACCTAAGTCAGGTGCTGCAGATGTAGGAGCTACCGACGGGCCTGCAGCCGGTGGCTGGCCCTCCGACGTCTGCGGCGTTGCACCACCAAATCTTCGTTGGTCCGTCTCCTGCTGGCGTTGACTTCGGGTACGGACACCCTCCGTTTCCTCCTTAGGTAAAATCGGCATGATTTTATCCCACTTCTGACACCAATTGTTACGAGCTTGAGGTTCGTGACAATAAAAATTGCCGATAAAATTACCTAAATTAATACTTTAATTTACTTTACACAAATTAAAACTTAAAACACTAATAATTAAACACACTAATTTACTTAATTCCGCTCCGAAGCTTCGCTTGTGTCGCCGAGTTCACTCTGACCCGATCGCACCTTGCAGCGCCTACTTATTTAAATTAGCAAATATCCAGAATGTTCAAGCAAACACGCGTAAGGTATCGAGAGTCCGAGTATAGATTTTCTGGGTCCATTATCGTGACGATGTCGAGGATTGGTGTCGTACATGTACAAGTTGTGCGGCCGAGCGGGGACCTCGGACACGTAGTAGAGGAGCACCGAAATTCTACAATGTTGGTGGACCACGGGATAGGACAGCCCTTGACATTGCGGAGCCGTTACAGAAAGGCGCAAGAGGGACTCCTAAGATCGTCCATGTGAATCGCTTGGCGCGTTATTATGGGGCCGATAATGCTCGGGACGAGCATGTCTTAGGAGGAGGCAGTGTTACGCGCTCCAGTCAACGATACACTAGCGCCATCTAGTGTCAGGAACGAGAGCGAGGGGAGCTTTGCAGTGAATGACACTAGATGGCGCTAGTGTATCGTTGACTGGAGCGCGTAACAATAGCATATTTCAATCGGTTAAATTACCTACAATTTCTTTACCTACCTTCGATGGATCATATGAGCACTGGTTAGAATTCCGCGACACATTTCAATCGTTAGTTCACAATTCTAATGAAATTACTAAAATTCAAAAACTGCATTATTTGAAATCTTCATTAAAGAGCAGCGCCGCATTAGTTATAGACTCACTAGAATTTTCCGAAAGTAATTATACAGTTGTATGGGAACTTCTCCTTAACAGATATAACTATAACAGATTGCTGGTACACAATCACGTAAAATCATTATTTTCATTACCGCTTGTTACAAGGGTTACTAAGAAAACTTATTGATACAGTGTTGTAAAATATACGCGCATTGAAAATACTCGGTGAGCCCACAGACTCCTGGGATACTCTAATTATTTACATGATTGTATCAAGGTTAGATCCTGCCTCCGGACGAGAGTGGGAAAAGGTGAAGTGTACATTTTATAAATCGACAGATGAATCTCAGAATTGTGTTATAACGTTAAATAATTTAATA